GGCAGAAAGATTATAACGCCGTTAGATAAATTATTTTATGTGCAACAAAGAGCCCCAGAATTTAAAATGGGTGATATAGAAAAACTAATTAAAGAAGCAAAAAAGAATACTGAAGTAGCACAGAGAAAACAAAATTGTATTATGACTTGAAACGACGGGGAGTAACTTATAAAGTAGGGGATGAAGTTTTTAAAAATTAAGCATTCACTTTCTTCAGCACCAGAAGATAAAACTGCCAAATTTTTTCCACGATTTGAAGGACCATATGTCATAGAAAAAATAACTCACGCTGTAGTAGTGTTAAAAGCCAGAATGGTGAAACCTGCTCCGCAAACATTGATCAAATCAAACCCTACTATGATCGTAATAAAATGCAAATATTTTCAGATCTTTTGCAGGATCCGGCACGGCAGACACCGCAGGCACAAGCTCCAGAGGTGGAACAACTACAAGTACAAGGGCAAGCCATTAAGAGGCAGGTGCAAGTGAAAAGAAATTTCCCCGCGGGAAAAATTGAAGGTAACAAGAAAAAGAAGCCGTTCCACCGTCCAGAAAAGAGAGTTCACGAACACCCCCAGAATGAAGAAGGGAGAAGGACGACGTATGCAAAGAGAACCAGGAGAAATGACGGCAACTATAACCCGGCTCTAAAACGGAAGATCTACTCATCCGACAGGACTCTCCGCAGCAAATGTCGCCGAACTGCGGAACGGCCATCAGTGGCGGAGGAAAAGTTACAAGGAAAATTTGAACGGCCAGCAACATGGTCCAAGCAGGAACACGAAAGAACTTTCCCGGTTCCGCCAAGACCAGCTGCCATCAAACGGCCAAGACCACAGGCAGAGGCGAAAAGAAGGTATTCAAGGGTGACCGAAGTGGAGAAAAAAGAAAGCATCTAGAGGAAGGCACTGAAGGGCGAGCCCGTACAAGAAGGAGGATAAATCAAACAACTATCTGCACTACCTTTAAGGACTGGGCCCAGAAAAGAATGTCCGAATATCACAAAGATAAGTAAAATTTTATGTTACTTTGCAAACTTAAGTTAATCTTTCATTCTTACTGCAAGTGGCAGATTTCAAGAAGTTTTACCTCATGCGAGGTCTACCTTTATCGCCAAAAGGGCGAGAAATGAGTTGTTACCGATTTTGGTATTATGTTTTTCAATTACTCGCGCGTAAAACTAAAGTTGATGTATAATAGCGTTGTGTAAAGACTTAAATATTGTAAAAAGTTATTGTATAAATTTTATTTAAAACATTCTGGCAAGAAAGAAGTTTTAGTCTGAAAGACTTTTTGAAATGTAGTATTTCAATGTAGAAAGAATTGGCACTTGCTTAGAAAAGAATAGAAGTTAACAATGTACTACTAATGTATGTTTTCAAATGCGTAAAATTAACGGCATGTTAATATGTTCTTATATACAATGTGAACTGTTATTTTAAATGTTAAGAAATACCGTGATATGGTAAAAGTGAAAGTAATGTTAAAAATTTTTTTTTATTCGTGTGACTGTAAAAAGACTAAATCATGGTGAATATGTGTTAAAGGTTGAATGAATGTAGTTAGGCTCTCTGACGCTACACTTCAGAGTTAGCCACTTTCAGAATAGTACCTCAGGGTTTAGAGTTGAAATTAGGGTGTGTTACGAGGTCTTGGTATGTTGAATTTTAACACGTTAGTGTTTTGATTGTAGGAGGAAGTGTTGAACACGTAGACAGAAACACATTCGTGTTTGGTGTTCTTTTACAACACATGTCAGAGAGCACGGGGAGAGATAATTAAAATAGTCATGAATGAAATAAGAATGTTAAGAGAAATATGCCATTTCATTGTGTAACATTTCATTAAACTAGTTTTCCTTCCAGATCTCTGGAAGGAACCAGATTTGAATAAAAGCTCCTGTTTAGATGCAGTACAGATGAAAAAAATTGTGTGTCCTGGGAGCTGCTATTGTAAAAACAAATTTCTTTCTTTTTAAATTTCTAGTTTCTAGTGAGAAATGTTTGTAAAAGATTGGCCTCGCGTTAGATTCTAGAGCTAAAAGTTTTCAACAAGGTCGTTTTAGACCTCAGTTTCAAACTAATTAACTCTGGCGGGAAGTATGTAAGGATCTTAAGTTTTACTAACGTTTATTTTATTTTAAATCTTTACTATCACTTCTTATTTTCTACTTCCGGCCAGAATTAAAAGCGTTAACTTATTTATGCAAAGTTTGTCTGGCGAACGCCAAGTATTTAAGTTGTGGCCTTTTTGCCAAGCGAGAGAGAGGAAGCAGTGAGTCGAAGCAGGCCGCTTACCTTAGAAGTTTTACGCAGTTGCTGGTTGCCTTCCAGGCCAGAGGTTTTAATCCTCTTGATAAATTTTAAACGTATTGTAGTGTTACAGTTCTCTGTACTACATACGGCTTCCTGTTAATATAAGGCCAATCTTCCACGTTTTATTTTAAAGTTAAATTAGAGTTTAGTTTATATTTTTATATTTTACGTTTAGACCCCAAGTAGGGGTCTTGTATTCCGAAGTACGGAAGTTATTGTAAAGAGAGAAAAATAAAGGGTTTTGTATACCCTTCTTGTGTATCCTGTCTACTTCCCACAGTTTTGAACATAGCTTTAGTAAGCTCTCTGTTCCGAGTCAGGTCCTTGCATGTTCCCGAAGAAGGTAAGACGGAACATTGATCCTGATAAGTGTACTTCCACGAAGGTATGCGGAAAAAAGGGAGAAAATACCTTATTAAAACACTGACTACCAATAAGTATTTGGACACCTAGGCAAATGACGATATCTGCGGTCCTAAGGTACGTCACGGACATCGCCGGTATATATCGTGTAGGATACAGCATCGGCTTTAGTCGCATGGAAGATGCCTCGCAGTTCGGAGCTCTCTGATTTGGAGAAAGGTATAATTATCGGGTATCACAAATGTGGCCGATCCTTAAGGGACATATCTAGCGATCTCAAGTACCAAAATCGACAGTGGCCTATGTGATTAAGAAGTGGAAGGTGAGTGGTAATTGTTGGAATGTGCCCCGAGTCGGCAGACCAACGGAACTGGGAGATAGAGACCGACGAGTGCTGTCCAGAGAAATTCGGAAGACCCGCACCCAACTGATGGCCCTCATCCGCGAGGCACATCTGCTTGGTTTTCATGGTCGTGCTGCTGCCCATAAGCCTTTGATCACAAAGTCCAACCGCGCTGCTCGGTTAATGTGGTGCAAAGCACACAAATTGGACAGTAGATGAGTGGAAACGGGTTCTTTGGAGTGACGAATCAAGGTTGACCCTTTACCGTTCGGATGGCGGGGTCTGGGTCTGGCGTCTACCTGGAGAACGTCTCCTGCCAGAATGCATTGTGCCAACAGTCAAGTTCGGCGGAGGTGGAATTATGGTCTGGGGGTGTTTCTCCTGGTATGGGCTGGGACCATTGGTCCCCATTCATGGTAAGCTCAACTCCGATGCCTACTGCACTATTTTGGATGACAATGTGCTTCCTCCGTTGTGGCAGTTTTACGGGTTGGACCCCTGTTACTTTCAGGACGACAATGCCAGTTGTCATGTTTCGACGTTAGCCAAGGCTTGGTATGGTGCCAATGGAGTTCATCGAATAGACTGGCCTGCCCAGAGTCCAGACCTGAACCCTATCGAGAACGTCTGGCACGAGTTGCATCGCCGAATTCAGGGGTGCACTACCCGTGCAAAATCGGTGAAGGAACTTCTATGTCTTCTCCGATTAGAAGAAAATACCACTAGCTGTCATACAAAGACTTGTGGAAAGTATGCCCCAAAGGGTCCACGCTGTAATTACCTCTCGGGGAGGCTCTACCAACTATTGATTCTGAATAAAGTTAGTTTTTCTTTTCTATCACAGGTGTCCAAATACTTATTGGTAGTCAGTGTATGTTGCCGGCAAAGTTTTGAAATTCGGCATTCTATAGAATGCCTAAAACTAGCCGGCAGTGTATGAAACTATTCATATTTCACACATTTACTAGGAATTTTATAGAATACCCAATCAGAAATCGGCAAAGTATGAAATACATCTCCTATCCGTTTCGACTATCACGTGACATTCAGCGAGCGCCTCAGGGTCAGAAATTTGTTCATTCAGAGCTAACACCTCATAACAGAAGAGGACATATCTTTTGTTAAAAGGTGTTGACAGAGAGCACACACAACCAGTAGCAAAGCATGTCCTACAACCTCGACGGATAACGATTATTGTATTATGTTTTTGTACGCATTGTATTTATCTGATTTCCGTTTTTTCCGTTGATTTTCACCGGTAGGCCGGTAAGAAATAGAATGTAATGTGAAACTGCTTTAAAAATTATAACTCAGTTTACTTCTACGTATCTGTGTGAGAAAGAGTTTTCATCACGACGAAATCAAATAAAAACAAAGAAACAAAGTATTGAAATCAACTTGATATATCCGCCGATCTCAGACTTAAGCTTACGGAAATAATCCAAACAAATAACAGTTGCGTGGAATGTTCACCCATCTCATTAACTTGAATACTAACATTTATTTCATTTTTAGTTAATAAAAGGAAGATTATTTAAACTCTAATAGTTTTAAATTATTAAAAACGAGTATGCCGCCCAACCAGGATAGTGGTTAGTGACTTTGACTATCGTACCGAAGGGCCCGGGTGGATGATGTTTTTAAATGCCTATTGTCTCTGTGGCATGGGGCACTCAAAATATGCAGCCAGCCAAAAGTCCTCTCGAGAGGTTGATGGTAGGGGAAGAGGGGAGGGAGACCTTTGGACCCGTCCCCCGGGGTGCTCTGAATCAAAATTGGAGGAGGAAGTGAGCAAAGTCGTACTGTCATCTGTATGGTGTCCAAAGGTTTTGCCAAGGACAGGCGCAGTCATGACTCCTTGCCACGATGAATTTCATGGGCTTGCTCTGATTTCAGACAAGCGAGATTAGTCCCAACAACAATAATAAGAAGAAGGAAAAAAAAACGAAATTAACTACAACACAAATCAAAGTACTTACCTTGCCCATCATGTTATTTGAATGCAAATACTTCCTTCCTGCGTTCATTAAGGTTAACTGGAAAAAAATGATTTTAATATATATAAATTTCTTTCTTTAGCATTTGATGACATTTATTTTTACTACCTTTTCATGAACATAATAAAATCGAAGGTTCTTTTTGTGTTGTTACTCACTGTGGTGCCATGGACAATTCCTTGAGGACCAATATAGCAATAACTACCAGCTGTCATCTGTCCATACCTTTAAATGAAGTAAGAATTAATTTTATGTCTATGTTAAGTCACTCCATTATTTGACAAAAAGGAAATATATGAGCATATTATAACTTTCAGTTTTGAGGAAAGAAACTGGCAAGTAAACGGAAAGGTATTACATCAAATTGCAGATATATGAAAATGCATTTAAATAGATTTTTAACTGATCACTGCAATGGAGTAAAGAACAGACTCAATGCCCCCTAAATCTGTTTTCAATGAACAAGTAACTACACAAATGTCCATAAATTAAGGATAATGCAAAATCAGGCAAAGGAAGAGTTAGAAGCAAAACAAATTTGACTTATTTGTAAAGCTTATTTATTGAACAAAAAGTAAAGAGCAAAAAAAGATGCTATATGTTTGATATTATTAAAAAAAAATAGCGATTTTTTTCTCCCTGGAGCAAATTACCAAAAAAAAAAAAAAAAAAAAACCTATTTACAAAAAAACCAATATTACATGGTTGGTATGATTGTTAATACATTGTATGTCTCCCAGACGATGCAATACAGTCCGTACAACGCCTAGGCATGCTGAGTATCAAATTATCGATCTGATCTTGGGGGATATTACACCACTCAAAAAGCAATGCTCTCCGAAGTTCCGGTAGACATGTAGGAGGAGGTTGACGGGCTGCAACTCGTCGGCCAAGCATGTCCCACACGTGCTCTACTGGATTCAAGTCAGGGTGAGAATGCTGGCCAGTCCATACGGGTGATATCCTCCGATTGAAGGCATTCGCTTACGATGTTTGCACGGTGAGGACGGGCGTTGTCATCCATAAACACAAATTGTGCGCCCATGGCGCCCCGAAACAAAACGTACATGTTGTTCCAGAATGACGTCCCCGATAGATTTGGCTTGTCATGGTTCCAATTTGAACATGCAAGGTCAGTTCTGGAACCCAGAATAATTCCACCCCAAACGAGCACTCCTGCACCACCGTAACGGTGTCGTTCAATGATGTTTTCTTGGTGGTAACGGGTACCTGGAGCTCTCCATATGAAAGTCCGGCGAGAATCAGACTGCAAGCTAAACCTGGACTCGTCGGAAAACATCACACACGCCCACTGTTGCGGTGTCCACAATGCATGCTCTCTACTCCAGGCTAACCGCAGGCGACAGTGAGTTGCAGTAAGTGGAACGCATCTGACAGGTCTACGAGCATATAGAACCAATCTGCCCTAAGCGTCTGTACACGGTCTGCCTTGAAATTGTCGTACCAGTGGCTGAAGAGAGCTGACGAGGCAGGTCTCAGGCTGTGCTCCACCTGTTTCTTTTGGCAGTAACTGCCAAATACCGGTCCTCATTCGGCGTTGTAACTCTGGGGCGACCTGTGCTGTAACGTCTACTCACATTACCATCATCTTGGAATCGTTGCCAAAGCCTGGAGATGACACTCTGGGCAATTCCAAGTTCGTCTGATACTTCCAGTTGGGTACGCCCACATTCCAGACGGCCGATAATTCTACCACGTAAAAAATCATCCAAATGCGTCCTTTGTGTCATAACGATTCGGTTATTGCACTGAAATGCTTATAAAGCGCCTGCGAACAATTTTACTTCTTTGCCTGTATTCCTTATATATCACTCTCTTACACTCTCGTCATTGTGACGTACCATCGGTGTCATCTGGTTACTTCCTGAAATTTGCATATGATTCTTGAAGATGTGTGTAGTGATTTTACAGGTGATATATTTATTTTAGAGTTCGATTTCCGTGTGACTCCGAATTATCCTTAATTTATAGACATGAGTGTAATTAAGTGTAACCTGCTATTTGAAAGAAGAGTGCTTAACATGATTCCTACATATAGTTAGCTATAAAAAATTATTAGATATTCTAAGGGGAATTTCCTATAAAAATCTCAAGAAATAATGTTTAATCATTAGTTAGTTTTAAAAGTAAATATTTAACTGTGCAATGCTCCTTGTGTTACCAGTAACTGATAATAACTTGGTTACTGTTAACTGTGTAATGTCTCCAGCATGGGCTTTTACACATTTAGTTGCTACTTTAATACTGGCTTTTTCCAGTGTTCAATTGTGAATCTCTTGTACAGTTTGAGATTTATTTCTGCAATCTCCAGTTGCCTGAATCGCACCTGACTGTCCAAAAAAATGGTTAATTAAATTGATACTCTGACGTGTTGTCCAAATAACTGTTCGTTTTATAGCAGTCATCTTAGCCTGGAATATGCTGCTATATTCACACCGGTGACCTTTCCAGATTTCTTCATGTTCAAAAATAAGAATAACATGAGCACTGCCGAGTTTCTTGCTAATTTTTGACCTGTCTGTATAGGCCACTGGGTATTTGGTTACTGCATTAAGTTTAGTTTTGATGTCAGTTTTGGTATTTGAATTATGATGTTGTGCTCCGCAAGTATGGAAATTCCTAATTCATAAGTTCCTAAGTTCATTTCTTGATCATAACTGTATAATATGTTTTTTTTTTCAATTTTAGGTTATTGTAGATGCTTTCCGTGGATTAGACCATCAATGAATGTAAAAGGATTTCATACTTTTTTCAATCGCACTGTGCAGGTAAGTAAAATCTGAAAGATAATCCAGAGGATTTCTTCTCGCTTAGTTGCAAAGCATGACTCGTCCAGGCAAAGTGGGAGAATATGATGACTCAAAAATATATTCTCGGAAGCCATTTTGATCTCTTTTTTGTATCGTAACTGAGCAAGTACACTTCTAAACCTAAAGTCGTTCATTGCGACATTTTAGCTCATTACTATGGCCATAGTACGTAGTGTAAAATAATTGTAAATAGTGTAAGACGTGGTCCTTTTTGTTTCTAAATGTGTATTTGATTTGATTTGCATTTAGTATTTGACAGCATTTGATTTGTTTAAGTTGGTTATTGCATTTATTGTTCATGTTGTTTGATATTGTAATGTAATATTTATTATTGCATTTATGCCTTAATTGTAACTTTGGCTTCTTGTCCAGGGATTGTATTGCCCGGGACGTGCAGTCCTTCGGGAAAGGGGTAGTATTACGGATTTGGTAATTAAATAGTAGAATTATAAATACAATTGTTTTATTCCCTGTGTAGTGCAGCGCGCGAAAAATATTAAAAGAAAGCTAAGCCTGAAAATTAAAAATACAAGAGCACGGGCATTTAACATTTAATTAATAAATATCTCTTTCTGATTTCGAGAGATTGCTAGAACAATCTCGCGCGTGATTTAAAAAGCTTATAAAAAGGAGGAAAACCTCTTAATTCGGTGAGTTGTTGTTTTAAGAGTTTGTTTAGAAAACTGCTCTAGTTGACTGTAGCGAATTAGCTTTCTCTAGATATTTTGAATTAAGTTCTGTTAAACGTTTGAGTAGTTAAAAGATAACTTCTGTGAGATATTGTAATACTTTACGAATATATGAGGAAATTTAAGCCTTTTGTTTTATTTGTTGTGATAATAATAAATTTTGTTCATTTTTCATCGGACTTGTGCATTCATTTCGTAACGAACCCGTACGCAGGCAACTTATTCTTTGTAAGTTCCAACTATCTTTGGAGTAGAAGCAAAAGAAACAAACTGAAATTGCAAAGATTCTAATTTGGATGAAAAGAAATTCAAGCTCCCTTCCCTTATTAATATAAAAATTTACCTACATCGTGACACCCATGGCAAACAGACGATCATAATTCCTCCTCGTCGAGTAATTAGGCACCATCATCCCATTCGTAATCACCATGCGAGGTCCTAAGGAATTGGATGGGAAGAGACCTAATGGATGTCCAGACATCATCACCAAGGTTTGGGACGTACTCATTTTGCTGAGGTATTTCATCACTAACCAAAACTGAAAATCAATATGTCCAGTCATTAGATATTTTGCCATAACAATACATCTTTCAAATGTGCTTAACAGCACCATTTGAGAGAGATTATTTCAACACCTGCAGAATTCAACAATTAAAGAACGGTTAGTCCTTTTGAATATATATGCATCTTCTTCAATAAATTTTTTAAAAAAAGATATATATATAACATAACGAGGTCACTCATCTTCTCGAAAGTTTCACACATTACAATGGATTTTTTAAAATCTTTCGCTGATAATTCTTTATTCAACTTTATAGCGTTAGAAATTTTAGTAATGTTTTAATAGTCAAATTTAGAAGTGTTGGGACATGCATCAGAAAAGGGAGATTTTATTCTTGATGTCTATACCAACGTGAACCTCGCTATATAGCTGTTTATCTGTAGCAATGTGTAGCAATCTTGCTTTTGAGCAAGAAGAAAGGAGATGGGGACTTGGGCGAACACCGTTTCCTCCAGTCGTGAGGAGCTGTTTATATACAGTTATAGCTACTCATAGCTATTTAACGGTTGCTTTTTATACAGCAACGGCTCATATTCAATGCGTATGTCAGCTCATACATTTTCAGGGCGAGCACTGAAAAACGCGATTTTCCACGAGGCAATGCTATTTAATGCCATAATAAAACGGAAATCAGTTTCTGAAATCAAATTGGATCTTGGACCTGTTGAACTTACCCAATTTCAGTGTGAGCAATGTGAAAATTCCAAAAACAAAATTATTGTTGATCTGTCAGTAATGTTTTCAAAACTCATGAACTTACGCAAACGTTGTAGAGCTCTTGTCTCAAACTGGGGGTTTGCGAGCCGCATGTGGCTGCCAAAGCAATTTTATGCGGCCTACTTTTTAATTTAATAAATTTTAGTTCAGTTGTTTTTTAATACGTTCTTTGCGTAATGGACTGCAATATAATAGGAAAATGGAAAAGCACTGACATACGTTACAGCGGTCACGTTCCAATTTGAGTTCAAAGCTCACGTTGGCACACAGCCAAAAGTACAATGTAACACATATAGCAGATTTCTGATTGCGTGCAAAAGAAACTAAGTAGGGAAAAAAAAAACATAAAAAATTCTAAAAAATCTGAAAGTTTTAGGATTTTATATAACGTCCAAAGGGGCTGTTACGCCATCCATTGCTCGACGAAAGAACGCGCTCCTGCTATTCGTATAAAGCTAAAAATAATTTATTTCTACTTTTAAATGAATGAAATTTTATGTGATTGTGTTTCAGAGATGTGGCAACACGCGATTATTTTTATTGTAATTGTGTTCTAAAGATATAAGTGAGTTCCAGTTTGTACGTTGGAGCAAAAGTAAATAATTATGATATTTATTGTGTAGAGTTTTGATTTCCAGCCCATTCTACAAAGAGGTGAACATAAAATTTTTGGTGTCAGGAAGTTGGATTAAGTGAAAATGTGGTAGTAATAATGTGTATCATCAAATTTTGAGAGAAAAAATAGTGTGTTGATATGGGAATATGCGTTGCGGGGAAATTAACAGTGAAGATGATGGTTCCCTTGATTATGGTGAGTATTTATTTGGTTTGTAATAATGTTTAGTGTTAAATTTTGTTTATTAGTGTTGTGTATTGAGGTGTTCCTTACTTGGTAATTTGAGTTGATAGTGTCTGTGTTGAGTTTGATTGTGTACGTTTTCTGCTCATTTGTGTTCTAGTTGTCAATTCAGGGTTGTTGTATTTTTCTTTGAATTAAGATGATTCTGAAGTCGCTTAAGTCATTAAAAAAAGACGAGTTGACGCTCGTGGCGGAGGGGTTGGGATTAGTAATTCCGAGCGGGGCGAAAATTGTTACTTTGAAAACTTTAATAGAAAGTTCAGAAGTTTATGCAAATGATGCTGAATTTGGGCAAAATGTTATTGATAATATTCTAGAGGAAAAGAAAATACAAATTGAAAAACAAAAATCGGAAAACGAAATTAGATTAGAGTTAGAAAAAATAAAACTTTCTCAGTTAGAGGCGGAATTAGCCTTAGCTAACATAAGAAAAGACTTGCTACAAAATCCAAATGTTGAGACGGACAACTCAAATCGAAATATGAAAAATTTAATTAAAAGGGTAAAAACATTAACGATTTCTGTACCTACTAAAGCAGAATCCTTTAATCTCTTTTTCCAATCAATTGAAAGGGCATTTAAGACAAAACAAGTACCTAAAGATCTAAAAGCAGAAATCCTATTAAATATTTTGGGAGAGAAGGTCACTAATTTAATGGAATATGTGAAGGAAGAAGATATTAATTATTACGATAAACTAAAGTCCATGATTTTAAAGGAATTTCAGCCAACCCCTCAAGAGTGTTTAAATCATTTTTGTTCTACGCAAAAATTGTCATCTGAGAATTTTGTTCAGTTTGCGTCAAGGTTAAGTGCAAATTTTGAATATTATTGTCAGTTGAGAAATGTAAAAGATTTTAAATCGTTATGTGATCTTATGGTTTCAGATAAAATATTCTGTGAACTTGACCGTGAATTAAAGACCCATATAGCAGTTAAACAGGGAGAGACATGGTTCGAACCCCAAACTTTAGGTCGTGAATGCGATATTTATTTGTCATCAAAACGTAAACAAAAACCAGAATCCCTTTTTGCAAAATCATTTACAGGTAACGATAATAAAAGAGGCGACGGAAATAATGTTAATAAACTTCGTAATTATAATTACAAAAATATTTCTGATGTATATGTATCTGGAGCAAAAGATCAAACATGTATTTTGTGTAAAACTAATCCAAACCACTCGATGCAAGATTGTCCTAATTTTAAAAGGCTTTCAGTAAATGAGCGTGTTGATATTATTAAGGAAAATAACATTTGTTTCAAATGTTTTTCTTCGGAGTGTAGTGCGAAAAAGTTTAAAGCCAGAAATTGTTTCTGTGGGAAAGCTCATCATTTATGATTCATCTATAAACAAAATAAACCTCTTTCCAAAGTAGAGAACGGTGGCGTCGAACAAACTCAAATGTAATGCTTCAGTATCAAGATTAAGTCGAATACATAGATCATATGTGTTGTTAATCACTTGCAGTGTATACGTTAGCTCTGTTGATAAAACAAAATTCAATAAAATGACGCGCATATTTTGCGATAATGGCTCCGAAAGAAGTTGGTGTATGAAGTCCCTTGCTAATTGCTTAAAATCAATTAGAAAGGAAAGGTTGTTAATTTTTTCCTTTGGCTCAGCAAAGCCTACTGAGAAATTATATGAAGTAGTAGAATTAAAATTATCTAGTAGATACAACCCTAATCAGTGTGTTCAAATTGAAGTGCTAGTGTCCGATACTATTACAGCGGCATCTGTTTCTGTTCCAAATGAAGAAGTACAAAATATTATGCAGTCACGGGGATTAGTCTTAGCCGACTGCTGTGATATAAACATTGAGATATTAATTGGGGCAGATGTGTTTTGGCAGATTATTGAAGCCTCAGCTTTCGAAAAAATAAACCAGGAAATAAATTACTTGCGTGCCAACGATTTTCGGGTTTGCTTTACAGAGAAGTCAAGATGTTTACAAGCCAAATGTTAAGACTGCAATTTCAGCGAATTTTTGTGCAGCCGCTTCAAATGTTCAGATATTGTGGGAACTTGATGCTTTAGGAATCAAAGAAAAAGAAGAGTTAAATGTAGTTGATAAAGCGCTGATAGATGAATTGGAGAAAAATTTAAAATTCGTGAATGAGAGATATGAAACTGATTTATTATGGAAGTTACGATGAATTAGGAAATAATTATTTTTTAGCTAAAAAGATGTTTGATGAGTTAGGAAAGGATTTTTCTAAAAATGATTAGTATAGGGATATAATAAATAACCAAAAACAAAATGGAGTTATTGAGGAATGTAAGAGAGATGAGCATGAGTATTTTATGCCTCATAGAGCAGTTGTTAGGAAAGATAAAGAAACAAACAGAAAGTTCGTATAGTCTTTAACTGTAGTTTGGAAATTGGCCCAAATTTAAATCCAAATATTCTTGATGTGATTCTAAAATTTCGTAATTGCAAAATAGCGTTTAATGGTGATATAGAGAAGGCTTTCTTAATAATAAAAATTTCTGAAAGAGATAGAAAATTCTTAAAATTTCTTTGGTATTCAGATAACCCTAGTGAAGAATATAAAATTATGAGAATGAAAAAGACTACCTTTTGGATGTAAAAGTTCCCCTTTCACTTTGAGTGCTACGATAAAGCATCATATAAAAAAATATGAGAAAAGTAAACCGAAGTCATTTGAGATGTTAAATTCATCACTTTACGTAGATGATTTATATTATGGTGGAGACAGTGTGAGAAAATCATTTGAGTTGTCGTCAGATGCTGTATCAATATTAAAGAGTGGTGGATTTAATTTGAGAAAACTGAGGTCGAACAGTAGAGAATTAGAAAAATTGTAGATAGGAAATGGACGTAGTGACAGTGAGATAGTGGGAGTTCAACAGCTGAAAGTCCTAGGGTTGAATTTGAATCCTGATAGAGATGAGTTGTCTTTGGAGGTGAAGGGTTTGGTGGATTCGTGGAAAATGTTGCGACGCACTAAAAAACGTGTTTTACAGACAGCTGCAAGAAGTTTTGATCGTATTGGTTTGATTGCGCCGTTTGTGATACGTCTAAAGTTATTGTTACAGGAAATTTGGAAGAGAGCGTGTGATTGGGACGAAGAGTTGCCGGAGGACTTGCAGGAAAAGTGGATAACGTGGTGTAACGAATTCGAAATTGAAAAATTAATAGACGTTACTTTTCCGAGATATTGTTTTCTGGATTGTGAGAAGGAGCAATCGGAAGTACATGTGTTTTGCGATGCTTCACCAAGTGCTTACGGAACTATTGTTTATTTTAGATATTGTGAGGATAATGAGAATTACAGAGTATCTTTTATAACGTCGAAGAGTAGAGTGTCACCGTTAAAGAAACTAATGTTGCCACGGTTGGAGCTAATGGCCATGGTAATAGGTGCTAGAGTG